ATTTAAATATTCACAATATTTGCACACATATCGCAAATACATACACAGTAAATGTAAATCGTAATGCGATGCAACGATTATTTACGTAAAGTAAAGGATGGGAAGGAGAGAAGATGGAAGGAGGTAAAGTACTCGATAATTTCATCTCTTCATAATGCAGGCGTGCATCTCGTTGCACGCGAATGACCGCTCTGGCGCCGACGAATTCCACGTGGATTTCTATGTAACGTCAAACCACTGTTTGTATACGACCGCCGTCTGATCGATCTAATTCGCAAAGGGTAGATCATTGAGATTAGATTAGATTTTATGGTGCTCCGGTCTCGTTGCACGGACCATATGCAGGTTATATACACTTTGTAAGGGTAGTTGGCGGCACCCCGATGACTTGCAAGTGAAATTAAAAATGAAGCACGTCGACGTCCGTATGCGAGCAGTTTATACTAAATTTTTAAATTATGTAGTGTGCCTCAAAGCCGATAGGCATGATTCACTCGAGTTAGAAAGAAGAGAAAGGTAAAGTTTCTAAAGAAATCAGAAGCAGCATTGATTTGTAATTTATATCTGAAAGTTTATAAATTACTTTTTTATATTATATGGAAAATACAAATATATGAGGTATTGTACTTTTGGTACGGTAGCGTTATCGATATATCACTTAATGTATATGTGGAGCTATTCTGATTACTTTTATCCGATAATCAGAGAAAATATTATTTTCCTTTATTTTATTAAGGCAGAATCTTCTGATTCTGTTTGAACTGAACAGCGATAAATACATGTTAAATAAGATAAAGAATAATGCAAATAAATTAAATGCATTATTTATACTTTGTGATATATTCTTAGCAGAAATCTTGTCAATCATCGTTTGAAATCCTATACCGGTGACGGTGACAATCATGTTTTGCCCAGATGGGCAAACCGCCCACTAATTTTATGTCTCACATGTGCACATATACATCTATAACTATAAAGATATATAGCTGTATATAATATTTCGACATACAATATGTATATATAATACATATATGTTTATATATTTCTGGAAAAATATAATATTATTGTTGGAGCAAGAATATATGAAAGATTTTATATAACTGCAAATGTAAAATACAATAATATATACAAAAAATGTAACGTATATGTAAAATTTATTATAGTATATTTGTAACATTTTTTGCATATATTGCATCTTTAGCCGCGTGCGTGTGGTAAGTCGCGGACTGGAATATGCATTACTTCATTTCTGACATTTTAATTTTCATTAGTATTTGGATGGGATGTTATGTAAATTAGTGTAACACTATGTAAATGACGATAATAATATAGTGCTGTGAAAAAATGATATAAAAGATATGCATACAATTTTAAAAATTAAATTATAACTATAAATAAAAAACAGATTTTAATATTCCTGCATGAGTCATTTAATATGAAATGAATTAAAAATCGGAATATAAAAATACAGATTTGTTCACGTACAGAAAAGTTTTATTATATATACTTTTTATTCTTTATTATTATATATTATATAAATTCCATATAAATAGCTAATGTACTTTGGTTTTTGGAACACTTAGTATAGTGAATTATTTTACTTAGGATGTGTAATTTTTAATTAGTGGAAATTCATATATATTTATAATTTGCATGTCAAGCTAAACACAAATCATAATTATGATTAATTTTTAAAGACTTACAACTATTGCAATAAGTTTATTTCAATGTTATTGATATTGGTAGTTAGATACTGTTGTTTCAAAATATATTAAAAAGAGAGATCGACTTTTTTTTAATACTTTCATTACAAGTAACGATATAATACAAATTTTTCAATGTCCTTTTTTTATGATATATACTCATTTTTCTGTATTTCTTGAAGAAATTTTCTATTAATATTTTTCTCTTTTTGAGCGAAGAATCTAAAAATTTCATCAGTTTTTATGCTTACAGAATCTAACGTAAAAAGTTCAAGAACAATCTATTGATACATTGTGCTGAAAATAATTGAGTATTGTTGCGAAAATTATCAGAGATATGTAATGCCCCTGTTTTATTTTCAAAGTATATTATTTAATATAGGAACTTTGATATTATTTCTTACAGTTGGATAGTTTATTCGCGGCTAGTGTGACAGATTTCGACCACGCCCTACCGATATGGTACCCCCTTTCCGAGCTACCCTTGGATTCACTGACGACGTATCGAAAATTTGCTGGCTTTGATCTGCACGCGGCGACTTTTCCGACACCGCATGTTGTCATCGTTTTTGTCGGCGACAGCCTTTAATGAAGATATTCAAATCACGATGATATATCATTATTTAAGAAAAAAATATTAGAATATTTAAAAAACATATATATAGAAAAAAAATTAATTATACGCGACTTCAGTTTTTATATATTTGTTACTATTTTTAATATTGTTATCAAATATTTATTTTTTCATGCAACACTACTGTATTTATTTCATATCGTTAAAAAAAAATTTGACATTTAAAAAAAATACTTTGTATAAATTAAGCAGTTGTTTTACATTTTTTCTCTCAACTAAGAATTATATATAAGACTGACATAATTTTGATAAGTTTAGATTTTGCAAAAGGATGATAAAAAAAGTTCTCTATATTTATTTGTGGTAATAAAAATTGAATTTACTGTCATTATAGCAGTATGTTTCATATTTGTGCTAAATATATCCATTTTGCTCTTAATTATTTTGCAGTTTATTATAATCGGACGTAATTACATAATAAAATATGTAGAAGCAACTCTAAATATTACTTTTTTAGCTACAAACATTTTTAGAAATCTTTTTCAACGTTTTTTTCAACATTTTTTTCACTTTTTTCCAAATCGTTTATCCTGTTGTTTATCCTGTTTTGATCAGGACACGCAGTTGTTGGTGGCCCAGTTTTCGGGATAGCCAGCAAATTGACTTTTGCCAGTTCAATGAAAACGGCGGCGGCTGAGCCTTTGAAAGCGCGCCGCGTAACTTCTGAGATGTCGATGCTTCGAATGAGCTCTCGAAACTTTACATTTCTTCGTCGTGTTCTCTTTTTGCCGCTCCGTTCGATCTCGTGGAAGCTCATCGATCTCCCTCGGCGCGGTCGAGAGGAAATCTTCTCTTTCTCTCTCCCCCGACGTCTCGCTGGAGACGCCTCAAAAAGGGCGCAAGGACGAAGAACTCTCGCGGAAAATCGAAGAGCGAGGGAACGGCTCTCTGTGTCTGACACGAGCGCGCATATTCCACTGCGTCGCGAGAAAAGAAAATGCGCGCTCCAAGAAGAAAGGAAGAAAAGAAGAATAAAAAAGAAAAATAAAGCGCGCGCGGAAAAGAGAGGAAAGCAAGTAAGCACAAAATATACAAAGGAGCGTGCGCGCGTGAGACGGTGGGGAACTTAAAAATGATATCCACTGTGAGACAAAGTAAGGGTAGCTTGGCGCAAAGAAAGCCAGAAATGAAAAATGGAAATGCCGGCAGCTATGGCAATGCAAATCGCGAAGGGACGCCGAATGAGAGCGTAGCAAACGCACGAGCAGAATAGATGATCCATGCTATTCAGTATAATTGGTGCGTAAAAGTTTTATGGATATTCTTTTACTACGGGCCTGTTTCCTACTAATTTAAAGTCAAGTGCAATTAAAGCAACTTTTTGGGATTAACAAGAAAGAGTAGCTATTAAATAACAAATGTATATTGATATCTTTTGTATTATAAGTTTTATCAATTATATATAATTATATACATCGCGTTATGTTAGTGAATATCATTAAAATATCAAATCAAGCTTAGCAACAAAAAAAAATTTGAAGATGTTTTGTTTTATTAAATTTGCTTTTTTTGAACTTAGAAAATTTAGAGACACGTAGAAATGATCGATTCTAATTTTTTTTCTCGATAACTAGAGATTTGGTTGAAAGGATTGAGGAAAATTACGAAAATAAAATTAGAAAACTCTACGGGGTCTTACAAAGCCAATCAGCCAAAATGCGAATGGGCGATCTCGACGAAATCTCGAAAAAAGGAAGAAATCAAGAAACGCAATCTACCGCGTTCCGACCAAAAAAAAAGTGGAACGTGCGAGGGACGACGGGAAAAAGAAAACAGGGAAAAGATAGAAAGAGAACGGAGAGAAAGAGAGAAAGAGAGAGAGAGAGAGAGAAAGAAAGAGAGAGAGAGAGAGAAAGAAAGAGAGAGAGAGAGAGAAAGAAAGAGAGAGAGAGAGAGAAAGAAAGAGAGAGAGAGAGAGAAAGAAAGAGAGAGAGAGAGAGAAAGAAAGAGAGAGAGAGAGAGAAAGAAAGAGAGAGAGAGAGAGAAAGAAAGAGAGAGAGAGAGAGAAAGAAAGAGAGAGAGAGACCGAGTCTCCAAATTACAAATCCTCCGAAAAAGCCAGGCGCGAGATACACAAAGACATTTAGCGCCGGGCCGAATGCATCTCACGGCGCAAACGATGCACCACCGCGACGCGGCACGCAGGTGGGTCACACAAGCGTGGGTGTACATTACAATCAAATCCCGAAAAAGGGGGAAAAGAATTAAAAAAGCTATCTGCCGCGAGATAATAAAAACGAAGACGAGGGCTGCGCGCGGTAGAAAAGAGACACGGCAGAGAGAAAGCAACAGAGAGAGCAAAACAGCGTTTGATAGAAAGAGAGAAAGAAGAGAGAGATAGAGAGATAGAGAGATAGAGAGATAGAGAGATAGAGAGATAGAGAGATAGAGAGATAGAGAGAAAGAAAGAGAAAGAGAGAGAGAAGCGAGAGAGACGATAGATAGAGAGAGAGAGAGATGAGGGTTGAGAGCGGGAAGGACGACGGTGACGAGGACTGGGGTGGCAAAAAGGGGAATCTCTCGTACGCCATATCTCTCTTGGCGCGTATTGGTGACTGGGATGAAGCGTGTGCGTCGTTGGAAAAGCGCTACACGCTGGTGGTCCCGGAAAGAAAATCGCTCGCAGGCTATTTTCCGGAGGAATTTTTATTGGTACGCGCGCCATGTTGGCAGTGGCGACGGGGGTGCCGCGGGCATCCCGATGGCCTGCACGATTGGTCGTCGCTGGGGCGACGCATCCACCACTGGACCAATCCGCGCATCTGCCACCCTATCGTGTCGTCGGGGGTAACGGTGGCGGCGGCGTCGCGGGAACAGAGGCGGAGGGCGACCGGTTACGAGCAACAACCCCCTACCACGGACGACGGCGACGGCCGAGAGGCAACCCCTTGTACGCGTTCTCTGCTCACTCACCCCCGCGCGGAGTCACCGGGATAACTGCATTTCGCGGACAGAATCCCACAAGAACTCACGGCGAGCGGTCGCCCCCTCTGACTCGCTCTCCACTCCTGTCGTCATCGGGTTTTCCCACCGCGTTGTCCTTCGTAGGAAGGAAGGAAAGAAGGAAGGAAGCAAGGAAGGACGGAAGGGCGCGTCGTGCACGTCCTCATCGCCGTCGTCGTCCTCGCCGTCCTCGACGTCGTCGCCGTTGTCGTCGTCGTCGTCGTCGTTGTCGGTGCGCGCCATTTCTTCATACCGATTTGCACGCCGCGCCATTTCTCGCCAATTACTTCGATATTCGAATTTTCAAGGCCAGCTGATCCAGTCGAACGCCCGTCGACACCCTCCCCCTCGCGGGGGTCGCGCACCCTTCTAATTGGATCGACGAGATAATCGGATTTAAATTGCGACCGAGTTGCGTTGATCATCCGCCGTCATGTATCCTCTCGGCGATTCATAGATTCTTAAATCGATATCGTGCATCGTTTTAATTGTTCGTGTATCTGCTATTCGAAGAGCAATATCAAAAGGACTTTCGAGTCTCGAACTACTAACGAAGAGAGAATTGAAGGAAGAGAGATCTGTCTCCGAAAATTTTTCATGTGTCTTGGATTTGGATTTTTTAATTGAAGAATTTTTGGAAGAGACCACATCAAAAAAGCATGAAGAGGAGAACCACAATTCTAAGTGAAATTTGAAGAAACACTTATCTTCACTTGTCAAAAGTGCAACGAAACTGCAGTTATAGAAAAGAAGCACAGTCCAAAAGAACTATATATAATTAATCTTTGTTAATAAATAATATTTCACGCAGATGTCCATTCTACTAAATGCGGAATGAACTGCGAGTTGGATCTAGGCTAAACTGTTATTAGATAAGAATAACTGTTGCAAAAATCTACTGTTGCAAATATCTACTGCTGCCTGCAAATTTTTACGAAGATTAAGACCGTATACATCGCATATGAAAGTCACACGTAAAAACTACATATAAAAATCACATATAAAAATATAAACTTAATTATAATATTAACTATTAAATCTTTCAGACATATATATTACTGAGAGAATTAAAGACTATATAAAAATTGGATTAGCAGTGAAAATCTAGATTAATTTAACGCTAAATCGATAAGCAATATTTTATACATAATTATCCAATCTTGATTTTTTTAGACTTTTCAAACACACTCATACACACAAATGGATCTCGTTTCAATATTTATGACGCGATAACATTTAAAATAACTATCACTCATAGCAAGAATCTTCAATAATAGTGATACTAAAGATGTGCACCCCTGCACAAGTGTTTCCTAAAGAGAATGTTTGAAAAAAAGATATCTTTAGAATTGCTCATGTGTGTGTGTATATATATGCATATATACATATGTTTATTAAATTTATAATGATTAAAAACAAGTCTTAAATAAGTAAAATATATTAAAAGGATGTATATAATTTTTTAGAAGACATGCACAAGAAATCTATTCTGTAGATATTAAATTACAATATAACAAAAGATACCATATAACGAGAGATTTTTATCAATATTGTACAATACATCTGTAAGAATCTATATTAAAGACATTATTCAATGATTGTTTTAACTCTTTTATACTTAATAACTTTAATTAGAAAACACTACTTTGCATTTAATATATAAAATGAAAATCAAAAGTTGTCCAAAATATCAGATACGGAATTATACCGTTGTAAATTTTTATTAAATATATTGTTTTAACATATTTTTCCGTTCAAGAGGTAGAAACTCTCATTTTAATCGCATATGAAAGTCACACGTAAAAACTACATATAAAAATCACATATAAAAATATAAACTTAATTATAATATTAACTATTAAATCTTTCAGACATATATATTACTGAGAGAATTAAAGACTATATAAAAATTGGATTAGCAGTGAAAATCTAGATTAATTTAACGCTAAATCGATAAGCAATATTTTATACATAATTATCCAATCTTGATTTTTTTAGACTTTTCAAACACACTCATACACACAAATGGATCTCGTTTCAATATTTATGACGCGATAACATTTAAAATAACTATCACTCATAGCAAGAATCTTCAATAATAGTGATACTAAAGATGTGCACCCCTGCACAAGTGTTTCCTAAAGAGAATGTTTGAAAAAAAGATATCTTTAGAATTGCTCGACTGATCTCCTTGGAAAGTTCATAAAAAATAACGGCAAATCATACAAGATATATTATTCTTTCTAAACAAGCCGTTGCGTACTCCGAAAAGTGTGAAGTATCTTAAACAGAAGAAACATATTTTCTCGCGATCCAGCCTTTCGTTAAAGTCACTGACCGACTGCTGGAGGATAACGAGCCGCTCTTCACCGGAGTCCTCAATTTTTCAACGATCTTTCGGTGTGTCGATCCGAGGAGGATAACGCAGTGCGTATTCGCAAAGCGGACGCGGAGCGCCCTCATCGCGGACTTGCATTGGAAGATGTTCTCGTAGATAGTCGAGATTTCGCTCAGGTGCTACCAATACGAGCTACCTCGACCAGGTTACCCCGGCATCACCCTGGCTAACGATTTGTCCGGAGGTACCGGGGGTCCCGGTGCGGGCGGCGTCGGTTCCGTCGGTGGTACCTCCGTTGGCGGCGGAGGCGGCGGCGGCGGTGGCGGCGGCGGTGGCGGTTCGTCCCTGCCGACGACTGCCCTCAGCCTCGATCACCAGCAATTCAACATATTCCCGGCGATCTTTAGCCGGCAGCTCAACTTCTCCGCGGCAGCCGCCGCCAATTGCGGCCAGAACAAGCTGATGGATGAGCTCAGGCCGAATCTGGGATTGCTCGGCGTCGGCCTGGTCGAGAATGACAGCTTCCATCTAAATCACAATCAGGAGAAGAGAAAGTGCAGTAGCGCCAGCTCGAATGAGCAAGACTTCGGTCTGTACGGGGTACATCAGGGCCTGGAGGCGAGCCCGCCGACGCCCGCCGCGACTCCCGGTAGAAGCAGCGTCGGGGCCACCACGAGTGTCGGTGAGTGCCATGTTTTGAGTTTTGGCAATCATTTTTATTATTTCATATTAACAGAGAAATAAATTCTTGGCCTTCAACTGAAAAAGATTAGAATGCGTGTGTCTTTTTTTTTTCATTGTTGCTTTTGTACGTTTTTCATTAAAAATAATAATAAGCAATAATAATTACTGAATGAGCAAAAGAGCAAATCTTAGAAACTAAATTTGCATTTGCATTGTCCATATGATGTAACTGGCAATTATTAGCTCGCAAATAGTCTTTTTAATTTTTTTGACATTTTTAAGCTACGCTATATATATACATACATATATAAATATTACTAATTTTTGTTTTACATAAGCATATTTATTGGAATACTTGCTTTATTCCAAATAAGATTTATTATAAATTACTCTATTATGGTTGGTATATAACGTATCTTTTTTATTTTTGTTAAGTTTAAATAAAAACACATATTTCGTAATTAATTTCAATAATAGAAATTATTGAGTTTATAATACTTGAAAGAAGCGGATTATTTTGATACCTGTTTCATTATTTCGCTACCTCTTTCGACGACGTACGATTTCTATAAAAAATATGATAACATGTTATATATCTTGAATGTTCTGAAATTTGATACACTTTTGTAACTTTTAAAGTGTCGCATTTTTGCATCGTCGAGAAAAATGGGCATCGTGCTATCTCGAGATAGACGTATTTTCCGCTTGTTGAGCCCCGAGCACGCGTTCACGCTGGCGACGCGATCAGCTCGGAGTGTTGACAATGGGTCGGGTGGGCCAGACATATGGTAGTACCTGTTTCATGGACTATTATTATGTGCTAGTAGGGCTTAAGAGAGCTTAGCACCGAGGGTGCGTTAATGGGGTGGGCTTGAAACGTCGGACGAAGCTTGAACGAGTGACGAATCTCTCGCGCCCGATTTCGACGAGTCGAAAGACTCGGGATCGGGCTCGAATGAAAGGGCTCATCTCCTTCGTTCCCTCTCATTTTTGTTATTGTATCGCGACTCGTATTTCATAACGCGTGTTTCGTGCACTCGAAATGTCAACTTGCATTCATTAAATGCGAAGCGTTTAATCATTGCATCGTTCCAAAACAAATCCAAAGATGATAGAGTTACTTCTCACATATACGTATAAATTATAAGTATAAATTATAGTGGACTTGAATTGATGGGAAACACTTTAATATTACGCGATTGTTGTGTTGTGAATTGAGAATAAGACGCAAAGTAAATATTGTCTTATTTTAATTCATTAAATTTTTCATACCGTTGAAGAAACTAAGCGTTTTTAACAAGATTTGTTTGCATTGATTCCGTAAATTGTTTACTGAAATATATCGTATTAATTGGAATTTACAATGAATTTTCATTTCTAAGAGATTTGGCAATTGATAAGTACAAAGTTCAACAGGTCTATCGCGACACGGCAGTCGTTAGAATTTTTTTCGGCCTTATTATATCTGTAAATGTATGTGTGTGTATGTGTGTGCGTGTTTCACGCGGTGGCACCGATTTGCAAATCACGATATCTAGCATTCCGTCGTACCCTTCAAGGTCAGGGTTTCCGGAAACGAAATGAGACTACCGCGGGATTCTCATGCAAATGATAATCCGACAGCGTCGGGCCGCTTCGCGACGAGGGAAAAAGAGATAACGGAATAAAACGAGGACAGGACGGCGGTGGAGGGAAAAATTAATGTCGTTAACCCCCTCGCGCGTTCTCTCGGGTATTAAAAGTACTCGAGCGACGGTCTTCTGCGCGCGCGGTTCCCGTATCCTCCTTAAAAGGCGCGTCCCGCTCTTGTTGAGTGACCCGTAACGTCGTCAATTTCCATCTGCACTCGTAGAGAAAAATAAATTTGTTCGCTTTACACGCGTTATTATCTGACAACATTGCGATATATAATTCTTAACTACTGTGTGAAATATTAAGATTGAATATTTTAATTAAATCTAATAATACTCACAGAGAAAATGTCGATCAAAGTCATTACAGCCATTTTTCAATCTTCAGATCTAAATGTTTTGATAATTAAACTTGAAATTAAAACTGTATTGAAGTAATTGTAAAAGTAAATAAATTTTTTTTTCACTTATCTAGCCTTTCAGAGCTTAAAACTTATCACGAAGAAAAACTTGTTACTTGTTTATAATTTGAATTAATTTTTGATATCTTTCTCTTTTTCGTTATTTTTCTATAAATTAATTGCATACATTGAATATTCGAAGAGAGTGATTTCGAATATTTAATTTTGCGTTGCCATTTTTTTGCTATTTATTATCAAATATTCTAAGAATTTAAAATTACATGTCGTTTCTTGAGAATAAATGTTGAGTAATTCAATAGTTTACTTGATGACACATCTTTTCGTCAATATTAATCACAAATTAACATATTCACTAATTTTTTAATATATATCTGCAAATGACATATGAAAAACTGAGACGTTGGCAAATAGATTTGTAGATGTGAATATTCGATATTGCCGTATTGATAAGAATCTTGATCATTTCTCGCGATTTATCGCGAGAAGAAACGAATTGGCATTGCATCGAATGAATCGTGGAAATGCGCATATCACTTTCCGCTGGACCGATAATGCGTTCTAATGTGACAGCAGATGCCGACGGATGGCAGCTGTAGGTCGAGAGAAGGCCATCGCATTACCAGTAATCCTGTAAATCGTGTCATTTGTCGCGCGTGTCACCTCGTTAAAATCACCGCTAATTACCCCTCTGCCCCCTCCCCTCCCTCCCTCCCTCCCTCCTGACTGTTCCCGAAATCTGCGGGGGCAGATGTTCGCCGCCGGCGCCACAATGCTCCCTCGCAGCAGCGCTCCTTTCTTCGAGCTTTTCTCGAGTGTCGCTTGTCGAGCTTGTCGACGAACAGCTTGTAACTTCATCCAACAAAGGGTTAACTCGGCTGCGAACGGCTGCACGGGTCGTACGATTTTGCCGACATTTTATTGTCATTGCTTTTCGCTTTGCTCCTCTCCAATTGTATGAATTTATTTCGCGAAATATCATGTCATATTGTAATTTACGCGATACGCGCGATGTGAATTGCTGAGATATGGCACAATTTTTTATTTACGTATCTCTTGACCAACTTGGTATTGAAGGAAAAATTATTTCTGAACTGTTTTTAAAATGGAAAAATGATTTGCCAAATCTCGAATATTTTATATTTTCTACAATTAAAAGTTTTGCTTTTTATATTTTTCATTATTTGACAATTTTATTAAAATGTATAAAAAGAGATTTATGATTCTATATAGAACATGATACATTATTATTTTAATCCCATTCGAAAGAAAATTGTAAGAGAGAGAGAAAGAAAGAGAGGTCTATTTTCCGAAAATTATTTTTTCGTTGAGAAAAACTTGTTTCATATCTAATGTTCAGTAACATTGTGGCTAAAAAGTGATACTATGTATAAAATAATATAATTTTTAATTAAATACGAAGCACACAAATATAAGAGAAAAATCTTTATAACTGTCTATATATCTCTCTATTTTTTACCGATAAATAAAATATTATTAAAATAGATTTCTCTCTCTCTTTTTCTTCAAAATTTCAGGAAACCATATTTCAAAGAAGTTTTTAACAATATATCTATATTTTACGTAATGTTAGTTACATATAACTACAGATAGCAATTATATTACTGTAACGATAATTTCATTTGATTGTAATAATATTTTATCCTTTTGATAAATGTTTATATTTGGTTTTATAGTGTATTCGTTTTAACAGATATAGTTTACAAGGATATAATTTTTCAGTAGATTTTTACATCAAAGATAAAACCGACAACTGTAATTTTTTTTTTGCCTATTTTCTGCAATCGAAAAACTCTATAATTGCATAAAAACGAATTCAAATCCCGAACAAATTGAAACAGCAGTGTGCAAATATATTTCACGATTCTAAATTTATATATACAATCCAGTAATAAACTCTTTTTGCTTCCTTGTAATTAAATTATAAAATCAATATTTTTAAGTTTGTGTGTGTCTGTCGAATAATAGTTGTGAAGAATGTTTATAACAATATTTTACGTACTATACAAAAGAATCATACATTGCGTAAATGGGTCGATATCCCATTGTTATATATACTGTGAATTAATGGGAAAAATTCATTTCGACATCATAAAGATCGCAGAAAACACTTTTTTGCCGATACCTTTTATGAGACATTAATTTCATTTCGTATCATTTATGAAAATCTCGTTTCAATCTATACTCATGTACAAAAAATTAGGACGAGCTTTTTGTTGCGTTAAAATGGAATATACTTTTAATGGAACAAAGTATTCCTCCCAGTCCGCGTTATCACAACTTTCAGAATTTAATTGCGCGTGATTACGTATGGTTGAATGTGCCGTGAAATCCTTTTTAATCTCTTATTTTTTAATTCTAACTCTCTCCATTTTCTTGCGCTATATAAATCTTGAAAAAAAGTTAATAAGTTCTATATATTCGATTTTTCACCTATATTCCAAAATATATCAAAAATTTGATATATGTTCTCAAAACATGTGGTCTTAATAAACATAAATAATACTCGACAAAAATTTCTCGAAAATTAAAATATTCTCAGAAAAGAATTTTGGATAAAAGAGATTAATATAAATATTAGAAAAAAATAATATATATCGTCAAAGAGCACAGCGAAATAAGCGGAAGGAACGGCCTCGCCGGGGCCCTTCGCCTTCTTCGCTGAACTTGACCGAGTTTCCTCGTTCACCGGGTAACCGGGCAAGGTATGTAAAGTGGACAGCATTCATCCTTGAACATTGAATCAGCATGTAACATGATTAGGTCATTAACGCCCTAACCAAGTTAGCATAGTGCGAGGGACTTCGCTCGCCACGCTTACCCCGGGTCCGTGCGATCCCGGGTAGGTACCTACGTTCGTTCATAAAGCTCCGGCGCCGCGACGCCGCGTCACGCCGACAACCAAGACAACGACGACGACGCCGACGACGACGACAATGGTGGCGGCCGTGGACCTTGTCGAGTCCGAGGTCGAAAGTTCGGCGGATCGCGCGCCTTCCGTGGAATATCGAATTTTCCGGCGATGAAAGCGATACGGGAAATCGAGTTTCGGTTCGCTCCTATCCGACTCTTTCGTCGTCTAACGGATAAACAATATGTGTACGAGAATCCGCGGAGAGTATTAACCGCGCGCGAAGCGTTCATAGCCGGGTATGGTTAACGGAATTTGTTTATCGCGTTACCCTGGGAAAATGTCACATATAACATTCCGGTTTGGTCGCGGAAAAAAGTTTCGACGTGTTGCGCTTTCACGAGAGGCACTTTTCGTCGAAGTAGGTGATTATTAAAATATTCCGCGGAATTATACAAAGTTTGTTCCCGAATTTGCGAGCCTTCGAGAATTCTTCGTTTTGCATATCTAATTCTTGATTTCATTTATCGCTAAGTAAGTGTGTAATCCTATCCTCTAAAGAGAGAAAATGCGAGTTGTTTTTTTTCTATAATTGCATAAAAACGAATTCAAATCCCGAACAAATTGAAACAGCAGTGTGCAAATATATTTCACGATTCTAAATTTATATATACAATCCAGTAATAAACTCTTTTTGCTTCCTTGTAATTAAATTATAAAATCAATATTTTTAAGTTTGTGTGTGTCTGTCGAATAATAGTTGTGAAGAATGTTTATAACAATATTTTACGTACTATACAAAAGAATCATACATTGCGTAAATGGGTCGATATCCCATTGTTATATATACTGTGAATTAATGGGAAAAATTCATTTCGACATCATAAAGATCGCAGAAAACACTTTTTTGCCGATACCTTTTATGAGACATTAATTTCATTTCGTATCATTTATGAAAATCTCGTTTCAATCTATACTCATGTACAAAAAATTAGGACGAGCTTTTTGTTGCGTTAAAATGGAATATACTTTTAATGGAACAAAGTATTCCTCCCAGTCCGCGTTATCACAACTTTCAGAATTTAATTGCGCGTGATTACGTATGGTTGAATGTGCCGTGAAATCCTTTTTAATCTCTTATTTTTTAATTCTAACTCTCTCCATTTTCTTGCGCTATATAAATCTTGAAAAAAAGTTAATAAGTTCTATATATTCGATTTTTCACCTATATTCCAAAATATATCAAAAATTTGATATATGTTCTCAAAACATGTGGTCTTAATAAACATAAATAATACTCGACAAAAATTTCTCGAAAATTAAAATATTCTCAGAAAAGAATTTTGGATAAAAGAGATTAATATAAATATTAGAAAAAAATAATATATATCGTCAAAGAGCACAGCGAAATAAGCGGAAGGAACGGCCTCGCCGGGGCCCTTCGCCTTCTTCGCTGAACTTGACCGAGTTTCCTCGTTCACCGGGTAACCGGGCAAGGTATGTAAAGTGGACAGCATTCATCCTTGAACATTGAATCAGCATGTAACATGATTAGGTCATTAACGCCCTAACCAAGTTAGCATAGTGCGAGGGACTTCGCTCGCCACGCTTACCCCGGGTCCGTGCGATCCCGGGTAGGTACCTACGTTCGTTCATAAAGCTCCGGCGCCGCGACGCCGCGTCACGCCGACAACCAAGACAACGACGACGACGCCGACGACGACGACAATGGTGGCGGCCGTGGACCTTGTCGAGTCCGAGGTCGAAAGTTCGGCGGATCGCGCGCCTTCCGTGGAATATCGAATTTTCCGGCGATGAAAGCGATACGGGAAATCGAGTTTCGGTTCGCTCCTATCCGACTCTTTCGTCGTCTAACGGATAAACAATATGTGTACGAGAATCCGCGGAGAGTATTAACCGCGCGCGAAGCGTTCATAGCCGGGTATGGTTAACGGAATTTGTTTATCGCGTTACCCTGGGAAAATGTCACATATAACATTCCGGTTTGGTCGCGGAAAAAAGTTTCGACGTGTTGCGCTTTCACGAGAGGCACTTTTCGTCGAAGTAGGTGATTATTAAAATATTCCGCGGAATTATACAAAGTTTGTTCCCGAATTTGCGAGCCTTCGAGAATTCTTCGTTTTGCATATCTAATTCTTGATTTCATTTATCGCTAAGTAAGTGTGTAATCCTATCCTCTAAAGAGAGAAAACGAGTTGTTTTTTTTTTGAGAAAACCAATCGTTTTCTTCATTACGTAAAATGAATCGTTTAGCGAGAGGAGAGGAGATTATTATCTTTTAAATATGAATAAAATTTAATATATATAACAATTTAATGCATCGTTATATTGTTATCTGTTCGACATACAATTTTGCTACTCAATATATTATTTGATGGCCACAACGTACACATTAATATGCCATTAAAATAATTTCAAGCGCAATCGGCAAATAATTTCATTTATGAAATTATGAAGTAATTATACACCTGCACACAATACAATTGACTAATGCAATGTGAATAAAATTGAAATTTATCTATCGTCATATCGACTATATAGGCAAACATTATCCCAGTTTAATGTGAGGCAAATAAATGTATATAATTTTTTTTTTTTCAATGTATAATCTACATTGAGTTAATCTTATTAGATGTGGTTTTGTAAAAATATTAAAGTTATATATTTCTTTTTTTTTTCAGGTGCAGAAGGCGCTTTTAAAAAGTTGAAGCCTGACCCCTGCGCCTCTAGTCCTCATATTGGTCACACACCTACAACAGCTAGTTGTCCAACACCCGCCCGACGGCGACACAGGACTACCTTTACACAGGTTGGCACGTAAAAAAAAGTATCTACAAAATCTTTATTTTTTAATATTCTTGCGAGTAATTCAACATATGTCTTTTGGTTATTAGTATCTTTTTTTTCCAATATTTTCTTTCATCAGCGAGATTTCTTACGAATGTATGTTTCTGCAGAGGGACATCGAACCCTGTGATCGATAATAACATTTCGATTAGCCCTAATCTTTCGTATCGCGCCGAAATTTCCTGCCGGGTAGTTCAAATCGGCCTTTACCACGGCTTTTCAATTGTTTCGCAGGAGCAGCTGGCAGAATTGGAATCGGCGTTTGCAAAATCTCATTATCCGGACATATACTGCAGGGAGGAATTGGCGAGGACCACCAAATTGAACGAGGCCAGAATTCAGGTGAGTGTGCTGCTTCTCGCAAAGAGCAAAACAAACGATTTTTCGAATCCAACGTTTCGAGTGGAAAGCATAGATATTTGATAATTATTGATACCATTCTGCCTGCGCATGTTTTTTTACAAGAAAATCTAAATTGAAATAGTGTATCAGTTTCTGGTAAAAATTCCTTCTCTTAAACAGCTTCTTTTTTTAAGTAATGATACGAGAATAACTCACATCTTGGTACACTGTCATTAAATCGCACGAGAGTTAAATTAAATTAATTTTCCAACATTATTTATAACGAAATATTTGCAAAATGCTTGCTTTTTTATATTCTTGCAATTCAACATGTCTCTTTTGGTTACTATTAGCATCTTTTTTTCTTCAGTTTTTTTTTTTTCATCAGCAGACGATTATTTGAGAATAGATTTTTAACAGTCTATTAAGATTATGTTTCGTATTGATGATGCCGAAAAGTTTGTAGGCATATTTATCTCCTAGTCTATCTTTTTGACTGTGACTCACTGTATAATTGAATCAAAGATGCATGTGGGGTGACAAAATGAAATTACGCGCGCAAATGTCGGTCCAAGACACCCTATATTCTTTGAGGGTCGTGGAATTGATCAGAGGGGACGGAAACGGGTTTCAACATACTTCTTTCAATAAATCGAAAAATTTACGTCAAGCGCTGGACGATAGAGTAGTATTTTTGATTTTGCTCGAGTCTTGTGAAAGAGATATGATTTTTCACATTATTGATATCAAAGTAATTAAAAACGTACATTAAAAATTGCTATTCTTCATTCTATACGTAATAGCATAAATTTCTATAAAGAAAAAAAATTATGATTCATGGGAAAGTTATAGTAATGAAATTTTTAATTTCTTCGACATGGAAACGTGAGTTTTACGACAGTGGTGCGGTTTGTGATGATATTAAGGGTGGAGGATTTGGTAATAAGAGAGAAAGAGGTAAGCGGGAACGGGGTAAGGTGGGGAAGTGGAAGAGGAGATGTCGGGGTTGGTGTACCAGTCCCAAATTCCGAGCGAGCGAGCGGTACATATTAAAACAGTCGCCGGTGCGTTGCGCTCTTTTGATATATAATGCAACGGGGTGTTGTTTGAGTTAAAAGCCCGGGAACCGCCGCGACTTAACCCTGTTAAACTGCGATGCCAAGTAAAACGCGGTTTGCGCTCGTCGCTCGCCGGTTATAACCGATGCACAAAGTGTCCGCCGCGAGGAGGTGCACAACCCGCGCGGCGGATGGTCCTGTGTTCGTTCCGACCTCAAACACGAGAGAAATAGAGAGAGAGAGAGAGAGAGAGAGAGAGGCTCGCAGTTTTAAATGTCATTTCCAGTCGCTGGTTTTCCGGCGCGCGGCTGCCCCAGAATCGGCCAATTACCTGTAATCTGCAAAGCGCGCACTGTAATTAACGCTCGCGAATTTGCGCATCTCGGCTACTCTCAAACCAACGGTAGCTACACCTCGCATAAGGAAACTTTCGTGATTTCGACCAAAATATATACCTATACATGTTTCGGTCTCATTGATTTCTTACACCGCATTAAATTAGTTTTTACTCTTTACTTCATTTTGCATTCCTTTCTGGATTTTTTCTCTCTATAATTGAATAAATGAATAAAATTCTGTAAATTTTTCATATTTTATCAAATATTAAATTATTTTATGTAATATATTTATTATACGTAAATAATACACGCAATCTGTTAATGATTATGTTAACAATTATCGGTGCATTATAAAAAGATGGATTGTAATTAAAATGGATTATAATTCAGTAATCATTTTTTTGAATGCAACACTGAAGCAGAATTGATTTTAATTAATCTTGTAAAATTGAATCAAAAATTCCAAAAATGATAAATGGTAACGTCTAATTATAAATAAATTTCAATACACCTATCTATTTCATATAAAATAATATCGATAAATTGTAAATATCAGCCGAAAATTTAGAGACATCTTCCTACCGTTTTCTACGCGAACGCGAAGGGTGAAGGAAAATTTCGTCGTCCCCTGGAGGAATCGTGAGGTCGGTTTGGGTTTAGGAAGGTATCCGTCGCAAAACAGGGGTTCTCGGTGGAAGAAAAAGGTAGGATGGCGGCCACGTAAGAAAGGGGGCCCTTGTCTCTCCCGACGTTCTTCCCCATCCCCCCGACGCCCCGGCACCATCTCGTCCTCGTCTCGTAGTGGAAGGAATAGCGAGCCCGGCAAGCCTGAGACGTTTCAGATCTATCTAGGGTGGAGAAAATTCAATTTAAAATGGCGGCTCAGATATAATGGCAGCCTCCGGTACAGCGTCACCCAACCCCCTGCGCGCCCAACTCATCTCAACTTTGCCACCCTCGTTCGCCGTCTATTTCTCTCTCGTCCTCGCCGCCTCCACGGCCCGTGTCGCTATCTTTGAGGAAACAGAATGCCGTGACTAGCGTGGGAGCTTTTAAAGGAACGACTTCTACGACGTTGCTCGATTGATGGTCTCTTACTAAAAAAAAAAAAAAATGTATTTCGCTCTCGAGATGCGTTGGGGTCTGTGATTTTTTCATATAATATGCAATAAACGATGCAAAATTTGACGATATATAAGCCTTTCCAGTACCTAGAACTTATTAATTGTCGTTTGTTCTCAAAAAATCTTTTTTTATATTTTTCTATATATTTTGCATATATAATATACATTAGTGCTTAATAGCTAACACTTAATATGCAACTTTCTCAACTTTTAATTATCAACATTAATAATAAATTATTAGATATAATATCTAACACACTCTTTAGACAATTATTATATACTTTATATTATTGAGAACTATTTGTAAGCAGAAATACTTTGTAAGATTTCTTGAGGAGATTGTATAATATAAGTTTCTACGTAGATTCACCCCTGATGATGAGACGCAAACGCTACGCGATTTGCAATTTCTCTAAACGCGCAAACGCACGCGCGCAAATTAGTGCACCTTGAATGAGCGTTTTCCAGGCGAAACACGGTATAGTGTAGGATCGTTTCCGTCCATTTATGTCATTTCGAGTGAGGTTTGCAGGAAATTTGGTAGGAAGATGTAATGTACTGCTACGTATATATGTACACACAAGCATGCAAATAAATTTAATAGGAAGGTAAAGCAAAACACTTGGTCGAGCGGGGTGAATGTTTTCCGTGATTGCTTGATGATTACAAATGAAAATATAATAGTTATGGTTGCATTAAATTATTTCTATTTCTAATTCTAGATTTCTCTATAGATAGACGGTAAATTGATAACAAAACTTTATATTTTTTTATTAGCTTTAAACTAGATTTTATTTTGGTAAAATTCTTATTAGGAGACTGGAGCCGCAAAAATATTTAACTATACATATACATATATAAATATTAAAGAAGTTACAAACGCGAAAAAGATGTTCTGATGTTTTATCGTTAAAGTCACTGATATAATATATGCGCAAGTATTTATGATCGCGAAAGTATTTATGACGATAATGAATAATAATAGTAAAAAATCGAGTGACACCCCGTGGTAAGAGAATAATTCTCGAATCATTGCACAAGAAATCCCATTATGCCGAAGAAAAAGAAAGGAGAAACCCCGAGCTCCGCGATATTGAGTTAGCCGAGTTTTCATTCGACCTTTTTACTTCGATTCGACTTCCGATCAAAGCCTATCTACCTGTCGAGCGTTTTACGAGAAAATCGGCTTTCTATCTGACAGGAAACAAGAAAATTTATGAGTAGCAAAAAAATTGCTGGCAAGTGTCCTGCTCTTTGACTTTATATTTTTCGCGCTTATACGAATAATAATATAATTATGACGTGCATTCGGGAGTATTTAAATTTCATTAAACGTATCAATATATATAGATAATTTTCGCATTATTTTAATTTTAATGTCAGGCAATCTGAATTAAACTTTTCGGTTTAAAAATACTGTAAGTTCAAGTAAAAAACTATAATTTTTTAAATATAAGAAATAATATAAAAATATAAATATAAAAGAAATAATATGTTCATTAAGTTTTATTTGTAATTACATTTGAATGTTTTTATATAAAATTAATTATAATTCTTAAAATTTCTATGTTTATATTATAAAGTTTACTGTGTTTCGATAATTTAGTATTCTACTTTTTTTTTGTAAAAAGGATGGATCGGTATAAAGCCAGAAGAGAAATTTACTTGCAATGTTTCTTTTAAAAAAACTAGATAGTTGGACTTTCGAGTAAATTTTATAGATATTGCATAAGTACATTTAATTGTACGTGGTCATATCCATAATTTCCGAAATGGATGCTCAAGCAGTATCATTATATTAACAAGTCTTACGCGCTTTTGCCTTCTTTTTCTTTCACAAGAAAGCCATTACCCGTGTATCACATTTTCTCGAGCTAGTATGTGGGTTAGCTATCAGAGTGCAGTATTCTCTCAGGCATACAGGGGAGGAGGATAGTTTTCTCGGTCGCGGTCCTCAAAGTAGCAGACATTTTGAGCCGTGTTCCCCGTGGAATAACCATCTCTCTTCTACCTCATACTCTTTCTCTCTATCTTTCTCTATGAG